GCTAGTTCTCCACTCATTGACAAAAGGATTCAACATCGAAACTTTGTGCAATCTGTCCATGATTAGTTTTTTGGTAGAGGAAAGGTTTATTATGATGAAGAAGCAAATGGCGTGGTGATGAAGAAGCAAATTCATAAGAAAGGTTTCTTATATAGATGAATATATCTTTAGGGCTAAGGGAGAATATTTTGACAAATAATTTAGTTATAGAATATCCTTAACAGAGGAATATGTTAATAATATTTTGGCAAATCCTTAAGAGCGGAATAATCAAAGTAAACGAAATATTTTGGCAAATCTTTAGGGCTAAGGGAGAATATTTTGGTAAATAATTTAGTTTTAATATATATATTGCATATTGTTATGTTAACATAAATAATTACAAATAAAAAGCCATATTATAAGAACTAATGAATCAAAAACAGCAAGAATTGAGGCTAAAAAGCACTTCGTATTTCGGTGAATCACTATGTACATCATTCTTGATTGAAAAATCTTTCTTGACTTACATGCCCTCTCTGAATATTCAGGTTTCAATTGATGTGCATCTGAATATTCATAAATGGGAAACACAATAAGGCGAATTGGGAAAAAAAGGCAAAAAAATGGAAATACGAAACTGTGGAGACGACTTTTACCCCTTGTCATCTAGACTACAATACTTGGCCTTGCAAAGAGAAATGCCCAAACATCTCTGCATACGACACATTAAAAAAAACAGATGAAAGAACCAAAACCCAAACATCAGATGAGAATAGGTCTTTGCAAGAATCCTAATACATGTGCACTAAAGTAACTCAGATGAGAAAGCATGCGATTTCTATTTACAGCTTTCAAAAATATGTGACTGAACTATAGATCAATGTGACGGTTCAAGGTGATAATATGGTAAGAATTCAAAGAGTGTTCATATTTTCACTTTGGAACATCAGCAACTATTGGTGATTAGGATTCGTTCCCTAGCTAGTTTGGTTTGTGATTCTGTGCGTGCCTGTGGTTTCAGTGAAAATGTGAAATCAAGATATATTCCTATCATAGCAACGTAAAGAAACAAACGGTTTAGAAGCAGAGAAAACTTCCAGTTTATACCTTTGCATAAAGCTCAACATAACGACGGAACTCGGGGTCTTCCAATAATGTCTTGTCGGTTGGAAGTTTCAACAGGCCCTCTGATTCTCCTTTCAG